ACCCTATAGAGTTAGTGACCCTGATTCCACCCCATCACTTGTCTATAAAATGAAGTATCTGACCAAACATTCACCGTTCCATAATAGAAAACTATCCTCCCAAGTCCAAGCAGCTCGCACGGAAGGAGGAGGTTCAGTGCCCACCTTCTTGATCTCGTGGCTCTCTTCGCCCTGAGATGCACCAATAGAAAAGCTCCTCATTACTATTGAATCAAATTTTTGACCAACCTCCACAAAGCATCCAGAGAGCTAGCAGCTTTAACTTTAACTATATGGAAATGCCTGAAGTATAGTCACCCAAATTTTAGTGCCTTTTATTTCTAGTTGATTGGATCTAAGCCACTTAGATCTCTAGTGCACTCCGCTCTAGAGTCGTTGAGCCTGAACCGGCACCACCACATCTCTATAGAATCTCTTTTTTAATGATCTTTGCTTCCAATTCCCCATCGTTCCAAGGGACTGCTGTGGAAGCAGGAGCTTCAGTGAGTGTGACCTGGTTGTCCTGGGTCTTTGTTGCCTAAGATGCAACGAAGCTCACAACATCTCTATAGATTTCGTTTTTGGTGCCCCCTAAACAACCTCTCGAGAGCTGTCAAAGCGCAGAATCTGGAATCTAATTGTCTTTAGGATTCTTTGGGTACACACTGCACGAATCTGCACGACATCTGTTCAAGTTGATACTGTACTTCTCTATAGAATGAATGTATTGGCAGTATTTTGATGTATTTTGTATGTCTCTACTACATTCTACTACTATGTAGAAGAAACGCGCTCCCAATTCCAAGCGTCAGCAGTGGAAGCAGGAGCTTTAGGTGCTTTTCCTTCTCCCTCGTCATGGTTGTCCTGAGATGCAACGACACAAACCATGTAGCTAGCTATAGAATCATGTTTTTTTGGCTGTGACGTGTTCCAACCAAAAACAGTCCAGCAATATCCAGCAATGCTGTCTAGCAGGACTCTACTTTGGACTGACAAGCTTCTGCAGAAGTTGCAGTCATTCTGTGGTCTCCATCGTCGTCAATGATAGGCATTGGCTCCTCAGTGATTCGCAATGGCACTGTGGACCCAAACACTCATGATGATTGGAGGTTGTTGGAGGTATACCCCTACCATGTACCCCCCCAAATTGCAACAATATGGCCACTATTTCATACTGTAAGCTCATGTAAGCTATATTTTCGATCCCCGTGTGAATTGGGGGTCAACTCCATCTCGAGCATTTTATTGCCTATAAACCTCGTTGGGGGGGGAGTGACACCCTATAGAATCAAAGCGCACAAAAGCAAGGAGCACTGGAATCACTATAGAATACAATCCATCCAGTAGAAAATGAATCTATTTTCTATGATATACAGTAGCTCTAAAAAATGACATCTGCCCATCTGCCCAATTCATCATGAAACATACATGGCTGCACAAGCTTATCAATACTGATCCGGGGCAGCCATCTGCATTTTTTGGTGTCTTGATATTGCTTCACTTGGGATTGCCAAGGGCAAAATTTGCCTGGCCAATCCTGACCATCATTCTTGACCAATGCATGGTTGGCCCGCAAGGGAGTCAAATGAGCAATGCTTTGCACGCTACTCTGGACCTTGCCTCTTTTGGGCTTTGGAATCTTTGGAATGAAAACCTGTCTGCCATGCTTTCATGACTGCAGTGCAAAATTGTTGGGGATAGATTGCGGAGAGTGGCAAGTCTCTCATGCCTTGCCACCCCACGGTCCCATCCTTTTTTTTGAATTCGTTGGTGATACTGCCTGGGATGGGCTCTTCGACTATTGCGATTCCTCAATCTCGCCTCAAGTGGTTCGCATATCGTGAATTCAACATCTATTGCTCACAGTCGCAGGAAATCGCACGCACAAGTCAAAGTGAGCGAATAATATCCAAGCAACTGCAAAACGCATCCGATCTTTCTTGCGCATAGTCTTCTTCAACTTCGGCATGTCCCTAGTCGAGTTCCCGCATCCCTGGATTTGTATGAAATATCTGTGTTTTTTATAGCAGTAGCAGCAACACTCTTCTCGTTTTACTGATGCTATAGATCCTGTGCCCACAAGAAAGGTCTCGACATAATTGAAAAATATTGAAATCATTGATTCTATAGAGATGTCATGGGATCATTCTTCGACACACTGTAGTAAAACCCACCGCTCCTGACATTTGACAGTATATGCGTGGGCTTTGGCAAGTCCGCTCCATAGAATGCCAACCATGTGCAAGTTACTGTCCTAGGCTGCAGTGTCAATGGATCTCACTATAGGATCAAAGGTTTGAAATTGAAACCAGTCTTCGCGCTATAGAATCACAAAAATGTTCAAACATGCCAATAGAATGATTATATATAACATACAGATATATACAGTACATTACAGTACTATGTAGTGCAAAAAACAAACAGCGAGAGCAAGGAGTTGTATAAAATTGTATAAATACGTCTGAGGTGCAAGCAAAGGAGAGACTTGATCTTCAACATACATGGGATTTTGAACCCCCCATGATTGCGCCGGCTGTTCAAGTGAGATCAAGATGTCCGGGTGAAAGGAGAGTGTCACCCGCAAAGCTTCAGCCTTGTCACTAGGAACATGGTCAAATTCAACAAGTTGAGACATCTCATGCAATTTGTGCATATGCTGTCTACAACTCATCCGAGGAACAAAATTTACCCAGATGCGGTTGGCCAGACGTACACTGAAGAATCTTTCATTGCCCATCAGCATGTCCTGGCTCCTCTGATGGACAGAGGAGCTGGCCCCCACGAACAAACTGCAAGGTGGAGCTCCAAACACGAGCCCTCCAGGAGCCAGCCTTGACAAAGGACCAGATCACTCTCACAGAGTGCGAACATGATACTCCAAGGATCTTCAATGATCAATGAATCAGCAAACAGGTGTGCAGCATTCTGCAGCTTTTTGCAACAAACATATACAACATCATCAATGATGTCAAGCCCAAAAGCGAGAACAGCATGTCCAACAGGCAATAGAACCCACGCCGAGAGGTTAGGTCATGACCATTGCTTAGCTTCACGTCATAGGCGATGCTTATGTAACCTTCTTTGCGCCACGTTTTCCTTGTGGCTCGGGAAAATGAAGCCGCTTTTGACATCTTTTGACTGGATACTACTCGAAAACTGACTGACGCATGAGTCAGCTGAGAGTATGATTTCTGCAGATGAGTCTCGCTAAGCCTTGCGAGGCCGAAAAGACATCCACCAAATGTACATTTCTGTGACCAATCCAGGCCCTAGCCCAAGAGAGTATCTCCCTTCTGCAAAGTTCCGCGGGAAACCACCTGTGCTGCAGGACTGGAAATGAAAAATGTGATTCTATAGGGTTCAAGAATGTGCAAGATTGTTTTGATTGATTTTATAATGAAGC